AAACCAAGTTTTAGGAAAAACCAGTTGGATACGAGCGTTTTTATTTCTATTAAAATTTTAGTGCACTAAGTACAGATGTGAGTGACCTTTCATTTTCCCAAGCACGCTATTTCTTTCATACACAGCATAGGAGAAAAAATCTTGATAATTGATAAGAAATCTTGAAAAAAATCTTTTGTGAGAGAAACCTTGAATAATTCGGAGACCAAACACACCGTCCACATCCAGCTCTGTGTGATGCGCATTGTAGTATTGCTCAAGACCGACTAAAGCATTCAGTACGAGTGCTATTAATCGAGCACAATTCCAACTCCACTGTATCACCATACACAAGTTGTTCGGCTTCCGTCCAAAAAATCACATGATGCGCTATCTAAACAGAAAATCTTGAATCATGGGAATTCGTGAAAAACTTCAAAAAATCTCCAACAAATTTCAAAATCTCAAAGCCACTCTCGTGCACTTTCTCTTATTTCCCGAGACTCAAAAATCCATACAGATATCCGCACTATAATGTAATGTTATTTTTCCTTCTGTATCGAGCCCCTAGGTTAGGCCTTTAATGTATCGAGCGATTTAAATGTTAAAAATCCCGTGCTTTTTGAGATATTTGTAAGCAACTGAATACTGAAAAACCCCCTCATTCAGACAATAGCCACTATGAAACGCAGAAAAATCGTTCAAGGGAAGGGTGTTAAAAATCAGCTCGGCCGCCGCAATGAGCATTCGTTTTTGGGGTAAATTCACTCGTTTGCGGGTTTAGGGGCAAAACTGTGGCTGCAGCCTTTCAAGATCACAGGATTTCTTGTTTTGAAATTTTTGAGCACGCGTACAAGCTTACCAGCTTTCACTCAGCACCTAGTTGCCTGTATAACAACAAAAATTAATACACCCCAAAATTCCTACCTCTATCGCCAATTCTTGCCTCCTAGCAATAAATCAGCTCCTTCCCACTCAGTAAGGCAGTCCCCTCTCTATCATTACGAATCCATGCGATCTAAACCAGCATCCTTGGTCCAGCCCCCTCCCCCATCCCTCCCTTCCAAGCACCCCAACTCTTACCCAATCATCGAAAGGGGACAAATCACCGAAAGCTACCTCCTCCCACC